TTCTTCTTCTTCTTCTTCTTCTCCTTCTTCTTCTTCTTCTTCTTCTTCTTCTCTTTTTTCATCGTCATTATATGCTTCTGCTTCTTCTGCTGTATCTACTTTTATCACCTGCTTCTACTTGTTCTGCTTTTGCTTATTGTTCTTTTCTGATTTCGTCTTTTTATTATTTTCTTCCTTTTTTCTGCTTCGATTCTTTTTATGCTTTTGCTTCTTATTTTTCTTCTTCAACTGAGGTTCAAGGGGGGGAGGAAGGAACCTTACACGACTGAGGTTCTAATTCTGGTCGATCCACGTAGAATTTGTTGCGGACACGGTTTAAAGGTCTTTCCTGTGCTCCTTCGTCATTCATGGGGTATTTTCAAAATCACTTGTCCATGAAAATCATCCATCCATTCGAGACAGGTGAAGGCGTTGACATTACGATAAAGAATGTTTATTGAGCTGCAACAGTAACCAAACCTAGCCATCGATATTGTTTTTCCCCTTTGAGATAAAGGTGATTACACAACGCTTAGTCATTCGGCTTTTCAGTTGTGAGCAGCGAGCATTATTGTAGCCTTAGAGACAAAAAAATGATATACTGAGGGCGTGGGTGCAAATCTCGTATAAGGGATAGTTTTGTTTAAGTATTCGTTGAATAAAAGCCATTTCATAGCTCCATGTACCTGTGTCATCTTCCACATATATTATCTCACGTTTATGATCGTTCTCCGTTTCCCGGCAATTGCATGTGCTGAGATGCACCTACAAATTATCTAGACTCAATGAGATAGAATTAGAGCAAAATGATTAAGTGTTTCATCGGTACCACGGGTTTGCGTAATCATACACCAGTTACAGCTAAGGAGCAATGACGTATTATTCCCTTTTATAAGTAACCACAGACACAAAAACACTTCACTGTAATATTTCTGAATAGAGAGTTCCCTTGTAGCCACATCAATGAGATGGAAGACGAAAATTATGGAAGTTTGTAGAGTATGGTATATTTGGATGGTCAGGCGCGCATGCAATCCGCCAAACACTTCACGCTGCAACACACTGTCATCGTGCACAACTCCGAAAAGCAGTTCGTGCTCAGAACTTGTCGGGTTAACTCCGGTTTGTGTTGCGACAGTCTTGAGATAACGTGCAACGAGGCTAAGTGGCGTAGTATTCGCAGCTTTTGCCATTATTGTTTGTCAGCGTTTCATTCAAAAAACTGTTTCTTTCCTTAATTTTGCATACTTAAGGCAAAATGACGCCGATTAATCCACGGGGTTTGCAGTTTCGCAGGCCGTATTAATACTTCACAATGTAGACAACATCAATCATTTCGCCAGCAGCGCAATGCATAAGTACAAGAGTTAATAACCAGTGTACCAATGGATACAAGTGGTCAGGCATCTCAGAACCCGCCCCCGCTGAAGGCAGACTGGATCCGGGATTTGCAGTTGGTTCGCTGCACAACGAGCAGTAGTCGTCATTTTATTGATTATCACTAATATAAAACGAAAAGTCACTGAAAAGATGTTTCTGATAATCCATTAGATCCCAGTTTATTGAGTGATGATGTACCTTCACCAGAAATAAATCGATTTCAATACTTCAGATATAATCTCAGTGAACAACCAGTCACATTTTCCCAATGTTCATTGCTAGTATGTCCAACCCAAATAATTTCATCAAGGAGCTGATAGATAAAGTAACCAGTAACTTTATAGCATACTTCAAAAATAATAAAATAAAAATCAGTGCCAACTCAATAACACACTTTCATCAACATCATTAAATACCTCATAGTGACAAAAAGAAGTTTCCAATCTTTTAAGGACCCATCAAATTGAATTTTTTTATTGTCTTTAAAAATCTGAACCAATCCATAACAGAAAAAGATATCTTTACAGGTCTCAAATTACGACATCCATCTATTATTACAATCACCAGAATGCATGAAAAAAAATCCCAATACTGGAGTTGCGCCCGAGTTTAGTGGCAATGAACCCATAGATGTAATTCTTACAACCACTCAAATTTGCAATCATCGTGTGACTATTGCAAGGCGTTGAAAACCAAAAGGGTCCATCCCATGACAACGGTGCTTAGACTACGGACACACGAAAAACAACTGCAACCATGTTATTAAATACCAACTGCAACCATGATATGCATACTGTTCTGAAAACCATTATTCAGTGTTGTATCAGCAAAAAATGTAAACCCGGTTTGTATTAACTGCAATGGTAATCACAAGGGTGATACTAGAAATGGTTCATGCTCATATTAGAAATAATCACAGTGCAAAAGAAAAGTGACCACCTTAAAAACATTAGTAATGTATCAAACTCCAAAAACCTTCTTCCCTCTCAAAATCAATCAATAAACCCAGCGCATTGAAAACTTCCCCTATATCTCATCCTTGATCAATCCATCTCCTCACAGTCCGCAAAACATCCATCATTCCCATCAAACGCCACTTCAATGAGACCCACTCTAACAACCCAATAATCACCTCCATCACCTCCTGCACCATTAACTTTATCAACTCACGTATCCCATCTCTCATTAGTACTATTTAAAATTCTGTAACCGAATACTTAAGTAAAAATAATGGCAGATAAAATTCAGAGCAATCTTATCATCCTAAACTCAAACTCAATCACAAACAAAAAACCTGAACTCATCCATTTCCTTCACCACTACATCGTAGACAAAGCTTGTATTACCGAAACGGACTTAAGCAATAAAAAACTATTTATTTCAAACTTTCAATTATATAGATCGGATAAAACAGATTCGAAAAGAGGGGACGTACTCATCACTATAAAAATCGATTCATACACACAACCAGGAAACTCTCCCGAAAATACCAGGATTAGAAACTATAGCAGTATCAGT